GTTCCTCGGTCGCGGCAGAGCGAGAAGGCTGAGGGGTAACAGATTCTGAACCTACAATGACAAGTCAGTGGAGAGAGCATAAAATCTCTGTAAGTTGACTGACCTATGGATGGGGACTTCATTTTCTCTCTAGAGAGTCCATCCCGAGATACATCGGCATAGGCCATGTCGATCCCAAACTCTGTGTCCTTCGGAAACTTTTCATTGTCGGTCAGAGACTGAAGTGCTGCTGGTTCCGCCTCTCCATTCTCCGGTTCGCGCTCCACTGTGATGGCCTTTGACTTCTGAGATTTGGATCCAGGAATCAAAGGCAGCGCTGGCTGCACTATGCGAAGGTGTGATTTCCTGACCGGTTTGCTGGTTGCGGAATTAGAGGCCATCGTGACTAAGAAACAACGGTCCGTTCGACGATCCCAAAGCTGCGACCATGGAGATTTGACGGAGTGAACAGGGAGAAGTAGGAGTACAGGGAAACGATTGATCGGGCCAGAGCGATCTCCGCTGGAGGAGACGAGGAATTTGCACGGCTGCAAAAGCGACAGTGAACAAGAGTGATGATGTCGGCTGTGTTTCCAAAACGAAAGCCTCGGAGGGGCAATAAATGTCACCTTTGGATTTTCGGCGACTGCTTTCCATTGTTGGGGTGCAGGCAATCAACTCCGCACTTTCTAGCCAAGGAGATCGGATCGGATTATCTATATCGCCGGAGGTCCGACACAACCAACACCAACAAACAGCAAACAATACAAATCGTCACAAGCTGGTGAGGGTAAGCAGGCTACGCATAACCACTTTGAGCACGAAAAGTCTGTCCCTTCGATCGTCAGTGGTCTCAATGAGTTCATTATCTTGTGCTTGTACCTATAAAGGCATGAGGATCAGTCAAGACTTCAGATGTTTGGTCAGTTCTACCGGAATTGTTCTTCCGAAGTCCTCTCAAGAGATCCTTACAACTACCTTTCTCGATGGGAATTAGGATACGAAGTATCGATAACCACAGCCTCAACATTGAGCAAGAACACCACGCTGCTACTTGGCTTCTGATATCTGACTAAGCCACTTTGTTCCAGAGGATCCAAGATCTCGAGGAATCATGAGCACGCGACACATTTCAAGAACAGAAGGTGCAAAGCCCCTCGTGTGCGCACCAGGTACCCATGTACAAAGCAAGTATCGACAGTTGACCATCTAGGGATATTGCTGCATTGAGAGGCGGCATCACAACAGGATGATACCATCAGCAGGTGGGGAAGACCGTTTGTTGGGAAATTGCATGGGCTCATGGGTCCTTTATACGGCTGTGATTCATGAAGAGCAGGCTTACTCATATGGAATAATTGAAGAGTCCGGAGTGACCAGCCGAAGTTCAATGTCGCAAGGTGCAGAGACAACCCTTCTCCACCAGGATGGTGACGGTTCCGACTGAACAAGAAGACATAGGTTTGAATGAGGCACAAGGTACATACCTGGGACAAGTACCGAGTACATGGTGAGAGTCAATGGAATCGAGCGGCTATCTGAGGGAGTGGAATCGCTTGAACCATGTGGCAGAAGCAGCGAAATTGATCTGTGTACAAGTGGGACAATAGCCGGATGTGACGGTGGTGGATGCTGCTGGGATGCCTGTCATCGCCGTCAAGTGGCCCCTTGAGATTTAATGAATGATTGAGATATCGATATCCAGGTCTACAGTGGGCGTACGGGTCTGAAGTTGAGGCCCATAACTCATGCGTGGTGCATTGCGAATACTTGGTACTCGTACTCGGGCTTGTCAGGATGAAGCGGCAAGTCAATAATCGTTGAACGTGAAATCGTCGTGGTTTATGACGTCGTGCAGTAATTTGCTGGCAGATTGGCGGCGTCAGGCCAGAAGCTGTAGGCGGGACTCTCGAAAAAATCCCAAGTCGCACTAACTACACCCCAACCAAGCATGGCGGTGGAGAGACGGGCCTGTGCTAGAGACGCGAGAACGCGTCCATGGGAAATGATTGTTTACATCTCATCGTGTTCATGACGAGCTCGGCTTCAAAGTCAAAGTCGAGATTTGATAACGAATGGAGCTCCTCTAGTGGTTTAGGAGCAAGAGGGCTTGAATGCAAGGTCTATTGTTTGCTATACAAGAGCACAAAAACCGAGAAACCCCCCTTCAACTGCCAGGATGCAGAAGGGAGCATTTTTGCCCGTTTCAAGCGATTCTATTGGTGGTGCTGAGGCGTTAAGAGGAGCAGAAAATACCACACAAATAGAAGACAACGGGCCACTGGTTTTATCCAAAGTCAAATTCGCATCACAAGAACCACAGCATCATTGGTCCGAATCGGGGAAAAGCACGGCATAAGGGCGGGTGAGCCAGGCGAGGATAGACAATCTCGCACTCAGGGGCAAGGCCCATGGATCTGGTTTTCATTGGGCCTCAGAACAAGCCGGGCAAGCCTCGTCAAGGCCTGGAGGCCAGCCATAAGGTTGTTCCCGAGCGTTCCCCCCATGTGGCTTACAGTTGGGGGCAACAACGGCGCCCACTAGTAGGGCTAGTAGGGGGCTTTTAGCCAGGGACCAAGGGTCCCTCTGGGTGCTCCGGGGTTGTTTGGCCCAATAGCCATTGCGATATTCTTACACCGGCACCAAAGCCGCCGTGAAGGCAAGGTGCCTACAAAAACTTGACGAGCCAGTCAAACCTTGAGATTGAATGTGATCCGAAGAAAGAACCCGAAGCCTTGCAAACATACTGAGTAAGTATGTACTCATTCGAGTAGATAACTCGTACTTGTAGAGACGAGGGTATATGCTCATACTCGCAGGTACCAGGTCAAGCTGGATTTCAGGAGACGGGACGCAACCGAAGGATTCGAGGGGGCTTACCCGATACCTACGACTACAACTACAGAGTGTTTGCTACCTGCTCCTTCCCCCCAAGTCCTCTTGCCCCCCCCTTCCCTTCCCCTCATTGCATACCTATTGGGTAGATGTCTTGCTTGCTGTTCTCTTGTCCCATGTGGCTAACCGCCGGAGCTTCCCAGACTCCCGTTTGGCGGTGCATGTTCCCGAAATGGACCGCCCAAAAGTCTCTCTGGTCAGGTACAAAGTACTCGTTATGGCACGAGGGACAACGGGTGATGGCACTGCGTCTACTTGGAACCTTAGTCTCCCCTTGTCTCCCCAATCAAGCAACCATCACATCAATCTGCGACACGCTAGACAAGTCTTGCTGCTCTCCAAGCCAAGTACTCCGTAAACCAGCTCTTACGCTCTCTCTCCGTTTCCCCTTTCGAATCTGCCCATCTTCGTCATGGCCTCTTTTTGGTCCGGGGCCACCGCTGTTCTTTTTCCTCTGCCGCTTCCGCATCCGCTGGTTTGGTGTCCAGCCACAATTTCACCTGCGACATCCTTCTATCCCATGCTCACCAGGCAATCGTGAGATCGTCGCTTCTCGTCCTTGATTGCTCTGCCAACCGTGTAACCTGTCCAGGTGATCATCACTGGTTCTTCTCCTGTATTCCGTGACTCGAGTGCTGCTACCCTCGTACCACCCGCCTCCCTTGATATTCCCTTCTGGAGGCTTGATATTAATGTCGACATTTTCTCTCTCTCTGCTTTACTGTCTGAGTTTGGCATCTGTCGAGATCTACCTTCCCCCAAAACTCTGTTTCGACACGCATTGTTTGATTAGCTCTAGCCTTGTCCGCCTCGCCTGGTTAGTCTGCTTCAGGTTGCCCACTTTTTTCCATCTTCCGTTTGCTTTAAAACGGCCGATGCAGTGGGACCCAACGCCGCAGGACTGGGAGCCTACTATTAGGTTCAACGAGCATACCCCATAGCCCGGTCTCATATTCGTATGCAGATCCCTGAGGGGGGTTTGCTCTTTCGTTGTACTCGACTTTGGACGTCTTGTTCAGCCCTCTGAAATCTCCGTCAAATCTTGTTCACCGTGTCAACCCTGCTTCTTGTCTGTTGCGCGCGTTGACCCTGCTTCGACCCTGGACCTAGACGTGCTCCACCACCGAAAAGCGCATCACACACGCACGCACGCACACTTGGAACCTTCCTTTTCCCACGATTGGCCTTCTTTCAGCCTTCTGAGCGTTCAAACTACTGCGACTGCTGGCAAGGGGGGTTTTCGCTCTTTTTCAGAAGCTACGCTCGCTATTCTTCTCGGCTGGTCCAGCAATCCCTTCCTTGTCCGGAGTATCAATCATCGGATCACGACGCACAGTGCTACCCGTATCTGCCTCCTGGTTCGATATCGCTGTCCTGCAGGCCTCGTTGCGGGAAAAAGCTTCTCCTCTATCTGACTGCAGCCCAGCCTGCGCCTTTCGTTCCCCCCTCTACCCTGGTTCCTCAACCCGGCCGACCTAGACGTCAAAAAGTCTTGTCCATGCTGACTCCGACTCTTGAATTGCGACGCGCTCTTCGCCTTGACTTCTTCCTGCACTGATGGACTGTTGAACACGTTCATTTGCCTTCAACATATCTCTGCCGCTCTTTTCAGATCCAAGAAGATCAGACACCACACTCGTTTCCAGCATCTGCACTGCACATTGTCTTGGACAGCTCCTGTGCCATAACCGTCTCAGATATATCTACCCTGGCCGACAACTCCTTTCTGCGACACCTGGAGAGGGCATTGCTCCAAGAGGAGGTTACCAAAAGACACCCAAGATACCCTCAGAGTCGTTCGTTTTCCTGTCGTCTTCGCAGGCCACTCTTCCTGAGATCAAACTCCCACGCCCTCGACGGGTCTTACTGACTGGCGCTTGACGGGCTCAATCGCCAGCACCGGGATACTCCAACGTGTTCCCTCGATATTCCTTCATCTCACCTGGTGTCCTTACCTAGTATCTTTCTAGATGGAACGATCATAGTCTGCCATTTTGGAAAATCATTCCTTTATATTCTGTATGAACTGAGCGGTACTCCTCGCCCAGGTTGTCCTTGGCTAATCGATTGACTAGTCAACTCACCCGGTACACTCTTTACAGCTGATCATTTCCTTGCCATTCGCCATGGCGGTCTTCAAGAAGAAGCCAAAAGCCAAGGATGATACTTACATCATTCCTCCAGCTGCATCGTCGGACCCAGCGCTGCCGACAAAATTGTCCCGCAGTTTGAAGCGCAAACCGAAGAATGTGGTAGAGCCGAAGCCCGAGATTGACCTTACGACTGTGCTTCCAGATAAGAATGACTTCCGGACCAGTCTACTCATGCCTGGGTTGTCGGCTCGCTTCAGTATGCTCCGGGAGCAGGACGACCCAAATACCAAAGTTGGCAAGGCGAGCGACGACAGTGTTTTGTTCCCCAAGAGAGCATCTCGGCTGAATCTGTTCTCTCATAATCCTCTTACGGATATTGCCGAGACCGAATCAATACAGACTGCGTTCAGGGCACCATTCGCAGATGAGGAACGTTCCTACTCACCTTCCGAAGGAGCTGGATATGCGAGTGACGATGCTGGGTCCGTGCTCGCGAGGTCGAGGCCCGTAGACGGCAATAACCTTTTTGGCGGTCGGCAGAAGATGTACCGGATCCCGACGGCCAATGGATCAGGCTCGTCCAAAGATTTGACAGAAGCCCATCTACCATTGACAGCTGGAAGACATGTTTATCAGAATGATGTTATTCTGTCCCCATATCAACAGATGCGCCTCAAGGCTCGGGAGGAGCAGGAGCGCGAGGAATCCCGCGAGAGATCCGCCAGTGCAGGAGCCGAAGAGTCTGACCGGACCAGTGTCATCAACACTCCTTCAACAGGTTTTAGCAAGAGCAGGGGCACAACATCATCGACCGCTTCAGGCCCTTCAAACCGGCGCACCTCTACGGCCGCTACCTCGGTCGTGTCGGACACACCACATCCTAGGCAAAGCAACACGAGCGCTGGCTCCAACCGCATGCACGGTTCTGAATATGACAGCGAAGAGAACCTGCTGAAGCGCAACTTTTCTGCCGATTCTCGGAAAGGATTTTCAGGGTTGGACAACCAGGCTCAGCCTCCATTACCCACGTCCCCGTCGAATAGTCGTCAACTATTTCAATCAAGCAGTGTCAGCAACCTTGCGGACAAGTATGCTCAGAGCGCTTCTCCATTCTCGACAAGCGCCTTCCGCGATGCGAGTCCACCACCAGCCGTCCAGTCACAGGCACTGGCTTCGCTCGACTTTGGCCTCAAAAGCCCCCCTAACCATCCACGTAGGTATCAGACTGCGTCTCCAACGAACGACGAAGATGATGGGTCAATCTACAAACAAAGTCTTCAGCCGAACGATCGTGGCAAGGCCACAGCCATGGGATTGTTCAACCGTCCGCAGCAACAATTTGACGAGGCCAAATTCCAAGAGCGACAGTTGCAAATGCACGGAGGCAGAATATCACCACCCAACTCTGACGCTCCCGACTATGGCGGGATTACAGAGCGGCAGAACGTGCCTGGACGAGTCGTTCTCCCCACCATTCCAACTTCTCCAATGAAAAGTTTCCGCGGTCGAGAATCCGGCAGCACTTCGGTCACTAGTCGATCAAGAGCACAATCAACCGCTTCCTCTATCAATCCAGCACAGATCCAGGCCCAAGTGGAAGCACTGATCAGGCGCCAGAATGAGGAATACTCGACACTCAAACCACAGAAATCTACAGCGGCTGAGCCAAGCATTCCCCAGGGGTTGTCACAACCTCCTAGGTCGCTCAGAGAGCAGCCTGCGGCATCCAGGGGAACCTTTTTCGACACTTTCGACGGCAGTGATGACGATGATGCTGACAGCCCTATGCTAGGCCGGTACGAGCCAGCACCGAGACTTGCTCCGATGGATGTCCACCCGGCCCTAAGGGACGATTCACAAGCTTTTGACTTTGGCGAACATATCTCGGCCATTATCCAGCCTGGTCGGCCGGATTCAAACATATCGGCGGATACTTCTTCACCCTCCATGACGCACGATACTCCGGATACGTCGGATTCACTTCACCGTTCCTCCCACACAAAGGGCAGGGATTCCCCACCTTTTGGCCCAACTACGGGATTGGGCCTGAGTGGTTTGATCAGGACTCACTTGAGGCAAGACAGTGACAGATCATCCATAGTACCACCATCACCAGGACAGCATCCGTATGGATCCAACTTTCCACTCAACACCCTTCGTGATCGCGAGCCCTCTATTGTCTCGGTTCCAGCGGGCAATTATCGAAGCCCTGAACGTCAGAGGCGGCCATCTGCAGCGTCTACTCAACCGGGCAATTATGCCTCGTCTCTCCGCGACAGAGAGCCATCAATTGCCTCCACCGCTCGTACAACCAACCCTCCGGAGAGTACTCACAGTGATCCCTGGGAATTTGATAATGCTCATCGTACTGTACGGAGTCCACTTGAGCCGGTGCAGAATGATGTTATTCCCGCCATGTCTCAGAAAGCACAACAGATACTGGGGCAGGCAATATCTCATAGGAACCAAGCTTCGAACAAAACACAACAGATCCTAGGTGATGATGCCCCCGGGTCGGGAGAACATCAACAACCTGCAAACAGACCGTGGCGACCATACGATGCGGCCTCTCATCAGCGAGGAGAAAGCACGGAGACTCAGAAAGAATTTGGGAATGAGCTAGCTGAACGCGCAAGGAGAATTCAAGAAGGTCTGAAAGGCGTCGCAGAAGCCGAGAAACGGTCTCGAAGTCAGGATCGCCACAATCCCGCCGCGCAGGCCTTACATGCTCTTCGACATAAGACCAGCAAAACGTCCCTTGGACCCAGAGTCAATGAACCTCAACCAAAAGCTATGAAGATGCTCGGGATTGGAGTTGGCCAAAAACCAGAGCCCATGGGACGATCACCAAACATGGGAGCAAGAGGCGACTTTGATTTCGAACAAGGATATGACGAGACTGAGCAGCGACCCACCCCGAGACAGAGACCAGCCGAGTTTGAGCCCCCGAGTGGCAGACGGACTCCTGGATTCTCGCGGCCTGGACCTGGGCCAGGGCAAGGGCCCTACCCTCCGAACTTGATGGAAGATCCCGAGCGACGGTACCACCGCTCTGCGACACCCACCGGGAGAGTGAGACGTGATCGAGCCGAGTCCGAGGCTGCCGAGAGGTCGAGAAGTCGGACTGGTCGGTATCGAGACGATCAGCCCTATCCGCCAGGGGAATATGGCAGAACAGGTCCGCCTCACCTACCATTCAACCGAGAGCAGCAACAACGTCCTCATGGTCCATTTGATGGGCCACACGGATATCCTGGCCCCCATGCTCCCCGCATGCCGCTGCGAGGTCCTCCTCCGGTTGATCCACGGAACTATGAGAGATCTGCATCAGCCATGTCAAATCGACGACCAAGCGCCCCTCGCCCCGTGCCAGCTGGCTTTTTGGAAGGGCGTTCAGCTACGCCGACAATGGGTGGAACTCCCCAACTTGGGCCAGGACCGATGCCAGTGGGAGCACCAAGACCATCTCCTCGGCCCCCCTTCCCGCACTCGCCCATGAGTCCTTTTACATCTCCTCCCGGAATTTCGCCCGGCCTCCCGAATGGTCCAGCCTCTGGGGTGGCCTCTGCTCTGCCATCTCCGGCAGGGCCTTTACCGCAACCACCCACTTCAGGACGCTTCACCCCGATTGAAGGGCGATCCACTCCAGTAGGAAGCCGCAAGAAATCCGTAACCAAGGGCATGATCTCGGAACCAACATTCATTTCCAGCACGTCTTCGGTGCCCCTGGTTGGTTTGCCCAATGGACCAAGGCCAAGTCAAATTGCAAGCCCACCCATTCCATCTATGAACCCACGGCGCCGTGGTAATACCATGACTGAGCGACCTGACGGATACCCCAGTCCGCGGATGCCTGCATCCCAGATGCCACCAATGCCAGATTCTCCAGGTCGTGGCGGGGCTTCGCCGATGTCTGCCGCGCAGCGTGCTTATCTCGATCAACAGCAGCAGGTGCACCAAAAGCCCCCTCCACGCGCGCGGAATCGCCTCCGCAAGATCAGCAGCGAAGGCGGAAGCATGGCAGCTCGGGCCAGAAACCAGGCCATGATGTCTGAATTCGGCCACGAGAGGCTTCGAAGTCCCGCGATGCCAGTGTTTCCTAATCGCAGTGCTACGTCTCTAAGCATTCATCAAGATGGCGGCATGTTCTGATGTCGAACATGAGTCGCAGGTCCTCGTGATAACTTACTTTTCACCAATCTTTGTGTTTCTTCCAGTCATATATCTCTTTTACCGTCGAACACCAACATGTGTGTGCGAACCTGCTCTTCAAACGCGCAATTCCAGTACTCGAAAAGCCACAACCCACCTGTATTCTTCACGATTGAACTATTTGATGGGATTTCGAAATGTAACTTGCGATGGCTGAAACGGGAATTTAGTTGTCTTTCTCTCTTCTGTGTTACTCGACGACTTGGAACGTTTTCTTTGTTCAACCACCTTCCGAATTTCACGGAATATGACTATGGGCCGGCTATCCTCATGATTTGGGGTTTGTTCTGCGAGGAAAAGAATATTTCGATTTGTGGGAAGCGTGTGTGCTAGAACCATGTTGGTATCCTCTCGGCCACCGCTGAGGTTCCAGATGTACGGGGTGGTATTCCAAGCACCAGCAGGATACCTAGGATTTTTCTCTCTGTGTCTGAAGAAATGCGGCAAGGAATCTAAAAAGCCACGCGCACATACACACATATATATACATATATAGTTGGGGTGAGTCTCGCGACTCTGTGTGCGGCGGAGGAGTGGGTAAATAAGTATATATGGCGGGGGGCTTTCAAACAGGAAATGAGACATTTGTTGAAAGACATTCTGCTAGAAGCTCTTCTCGAGGCAGCCTTGACTTTGTCGCAGCGGTGTAGCGGACACGTGTTTTACGCATGCATGTGTGTGTATGCTACATCTCGGCACATCTCGGTCAGATACCCTGCATCTTGAGAAAGATGGCAGCCCACAACACACACACGGTCTTGCGAATTCAGCCAATCTTTCTATCTTCTTCCACTTTTGGCCAAGGGAATGAGGCGGGTGGCGGCACATGAGATGATGAGATGATAAGATGGAAGATGGAAGACGGAGGGTTTTTACAAGTCGACCACAGTGTGGCTTTGTGTCTACGGGCAAGAAACAGGTAGAAGAGTACAAGGTAGGAGAGTACAAGGTAGGAGAATACAAGGTAGGGAGACTCAAAAGGGAGGGAAGACGGAGAAGAGAGACATACACGCGCGTAGAGAGACATCACATTATCTATCTATCCATTTATTCCCATTTCTATTACATATGTTCATTGGCTTGGTTTGGTTTGGATCGACTTGGATTGAAACTCGTAGGACATGTCAATCTTGTTCCCCATTACGCTTTACTTGTACATACATACATGCACACGAGGATACGTGCGTGGGTCCGTGGTGTCATTGTCATCCTTCCTTTCTGCTTCTCCTCCTCCTCCTCCCTCCTCCTCCGTCGTTCACATCCACACCGCTCATCCCTTTCGGTTGTGCTGTGCTGTGCTGGGCTGTGTCGATCGACCCAATCTAGTCACCCATAACACACAGATGCAGTCCAGATTTTGGCCGGCTAGAAAAGGGTGGGGGGAGACACGAGTATAGAAAGTCTGAGGAGGAGAGGGAAAAGAAAGAAAAGGAGGGCGAAAGGGGAAAGACGAAGAGAGAGATTCCCAACCGCCCCCCCAAACAAAAAAGTCCTTCGGAATCTTCTCAGATCATGTACCGGTAGCCCTTCTGCAGCCGTCTCGCGGCAGCCAGATCGATGCCCTCGATCTCGGCCGTTCTTCTCAGCTTCTGCAGATCACGCTCCGTCAGTGGGGTGTCCTCGTTCTCCATTCTCTCCAGACGCTTGTTCTGTCGGGTCAGCTTGATGCGCATGCTGATACCCATGATTGCAGCCACGGCTTGCAGGCCAATGTTGATGCCGAGCGCGAGACGGTAGTACGGCTTGTCCTGGTCGCGGTACGTGAAGGGTGTCCAGATCGAGGCCGAGTTGCCGATCGAGTTGATGAATGCGTACGCCGCGGCGCGCTTGGCTGGCGGCCGAGGGATGGCCGAGGCAATCCATGCGTAACAGGTGCCGTTCATGGCAAAGATGAAGATCATTAGGAACAAGCTGAAGTAGCGTGGTCCAAACGAGTCGGTGGTCATGAAGATGATCCAGCCGACGATGGTGATGGGAATCGGATACATGAAGAACCAGAAGCGGTTTCCCATGCGGTCTGACACAACCGAATGCGCGAAGGAGTAGAAGACCATGAAGACATAGGGCGGGGCGCAGAGAAGGAGCGAGATGATGTGATTATAGCCGAGAGTGGCGGTGAGCGTGGGAAAGAAGTTCTGGAATCCAGCAGCTCCAGTAATGCACATGTAGGCAATGGCGAGCATGTAGGTCTTGGAGTCTGTCATGGCGAGTTTGAAGCCTTTCCACTGCGACATTCCGCCTTCGTCGTCAACGTCGGCCTCGGCGGCTTCAATGGCGAGGCGGCGGTTGGCCACATTTTTCATCTCCGGGGGAAGGCGTTTCCAGGTACTCGGAAAGTCGGGGAGGACGAGCATAATGACCAAGCCGATGAAACATGTGATGGACCCTTCGATGATATAAAGCCATTGCCTAAGAGGGTGGTCAGTACAACGAATAGACAGCCACGAGAGGACGGCGCGCAAAGCTGAACTCACCATGCCGACAAGCCCATTTCACCCGCCAGCCCGCTGAGAATGCCAGCAGCGATAAGGTTACCGAATGCACCGCTGATGAGGGATCCGGAATAGAAGATTGACATTCGTAGGTTCAACTCCTTCTTGGTATACCACTTGGAGAGGTAGAAGAGCACACCTGCAGTAGATTAGCATTCGTTCTACTCGAGCATTGTGAGAGGAAGGCCTCGTACCAGGGAAGAAAGGGGCCTCGACCAGGCCAAGCATGAATCGACAGGCGATAATTCCGCCATAGCTCTTGACGAGGCAGGTCAATGCAGACACGAGACCCCAGGCAACTGTAAAAAAGCCCAGGTATAGAGAAGGACGACCAAAGTGGTTGAGCAGGAGGTTGGAAGGCACTTGAGCCAGGATGTAGCTGACGAAGAGAATGGAAAGACCTGGCACAAGATGTTAGGGAGTCTCCATAGTGTCGACAAAGAGTTCACTTTACCAGTTTGATACTGATCGCCGTGCAATCCCAAGTCCTCCTCCAGACCTTGCAACCGAGCGGCGGCATAGTTGTTCCTGAACTTCCGGTTAGCTCCACCTTGGTTCGACAACAATGTTCGTGTGATGGACGTACCGATCAATGTAGTTCATCAAGTAGACCAGCACAATCAAGGGCATGATGAGGAGATCAATCTTGCGAACAAGTTTCTTCTCAATGGCAAGCTCCTCCTCGGTGAGGGCACCAAAATGCATAGCCTCCTCATGAGCAAGGCCAGCCTTCTCCCCAAGGACATCGTGGTCAAGGATCACACCAGCACCTCCTGACTTGATATCACCCATGTTGGACGACTGTATCAATGCGACGAGTTAGAATACACCGGGGTGCTGGAAGAAGAAGGAGGAGAACAGAGGTGCGAGGGTGCAGGATCGTCATGCCTTTAAGGGACCGGCACTGACTTCATCATGGCACGCGGTCATCCTCCCCAGGCTCGTGGAAGCGAAGTCCCGTCGTGTTGCCACGCAGAGATGAGCAATCGTGGGGATGATCATGCCATGAGGGGCCTGCGTCTCGACCACTGGTGATCCTTGCACATACCTGTTAGGACCGGTGGCTCTAGGTGTTTGAAGTCAGGGCGGGTGTAGCCCAGGCCTGGGCTGACGTTGTGGACTTTGTTCAAGATATGACCACTGCTGGGCAACAGAGCTTGACAGGAGAAGCACCGGTGGCATGCCGATGGGAGCCAAGCCCTCTCTGATGGGCTCGTATTCATCTGATGCAACAGAAGCAGGGTCTCTGCATGGAACGATCTTCTTGGAAGGTTCACTGTTGTGGTATGGTTGGGTGGCCATGGGCTCGATCTCCGCCCAAGGAAAAAGCCACCCGCCTCCCCCAAAGCTCCAAAGCCCCAGGAAGTAAAGAGGGGGGAAATAGCCGTGGGGCCATTCCATTTCGTACATGGCAGGAAAATCCCCCGGACCAAGCGTCCTTTCTGGTAATTGCTGAGCTTGGGTAACGCGGTCTGAGCACCGTAACCGATCCGTGTCCGTCCCCGGGTAGACTGTGGCCCTGGTGGCCTTGACTCTCCCCCCCCTCCCCCCCCACAAAGCTGAGAAGACTCCATGGGGGAGAGATTTCCCCCCCCAAAACTATATCGCGGGAGACGTTTAGAACGGCCATATTGTAATTCCCGTGGCGGAGTGTCTTGCGACGGCGTCAAACCTTGTTGGAGCGACTCCCCTAAACGTGATTGTAGATATAGATACAGATACAGAATCCACAAGGACAATTACCGATATGAAGTCCCGGAGACTCGTCACCCTCATGCCGAGACGCGTCGCATTGCACCTGGGTGGCTAATGTTGGGCTGAGGTGAGTAATCTCCTCGATACAGCGGTTCGAACGACCTTTTGGCATAGCCATGGCATGTGAAGACATGGTTATGCCTGAATGAAGAATCCTGCAGCTGATGGAAAGAGACAATTCCCAGTCGACAAACACCCTGATCCCGTGGACCGAGAGTTCTCCTTTGCTGCATGCCAAAGCCTATAGATGCTGTTGAGCAGCCCTGCTTCATTCGGATCCTGCGCAGAGAATACATTAGGCTAATTGTTAGTGCGAATCCTAGACAGCCAGTGCCCTTGTCGTTCTGTGCTCCGTACGAGGTAATTCCCATCCAGCGCCTCGAAATATGGATGGCTGGGCGAGCCTCGGTCGGCAGTGTCTAGACCGGATATCAGCCCACCTCGGTGCATGCCAGAGCGACGGGAGCCGTGGGGGCGTGGTCTGCGAGTCAGTATATACCAGGGGGCTCGTGGTTATGTATAGAACATCCTTCAGCTCAACCAGGGGGTTGACTTTGGACAAGCAGACGCCGTTGCTTTGGCTCGCCTTGTCGCCTTTTCCACTGCTCATTTACCTGAGCAATCTCTTGACTTGACTCTGGATGTTCAGTCAACGACCGAGCCAGAGAAAAGGGCGCAATCAGTCCACTATGA